CAACTGAGTCTTATGTATGTGATCATTTTTCTTACCTCGTAGAGCCCCTTCCCTTCAAGCAGCCACATTCCGATTTCGGAGGTATACTGAGTATGATATTTTCACTTTTGGTAGGAAGTTAATTTTGAATTTCGCCTGGGTGGCGGCAAAGCCGGTTCTTTCCGATTTTAGGACAACCAATGGATCTTTAGCTTACACAACTTGCACACGCTACCCCTGAGATTTTTGCCCCTTATCCGAGAAGGCATGTGGTTCGACCTTACTTACACTAAGTTCAGGGGTGTGGCTGAAACACATCAGTAAGAAAGAGTCAGTATTCGCGGTAGCAGTGAAAGATTCAGGACTAAGAAACCTAGAAGCACAGAGGAGGGGGGAGAGAGGTAGTGCCTGATGTCAGAGCTAAAGTTAACGAGAAAATGACCTCCACAGTTCGGTACGTAACGGGAGTGTAATTGGAAACCAGACCTTTACATTGTCTGTGCCTTTGAACACTGATAAAAGGATACTCAAATACCGGAAGCATAAGATTAAAAGGAGGATTTATGTTAATGGACAATGAGGTTGTCTTAAACAGATGGTCAGTATAGATAGAGGAACTTTTCAAAGATAATAGAGAAGAAAAACCGGTAATAAAGAATGAAATAAATAGACAACCAATACTGAAAGCAGAAGTACAAGCTGACATTAGGAAAACGAAACAAGGAAAAGCCACAGGGCCAGACAATATTCCATTTGAAGTGATTGTCGCGCTTGAAGAACTAAAATAAAATAGAAGAAACAGAAATGTGGTTTCTTAGGAGACTGCTAAGAGTATCATGGAAGGAAAAGAAATCAAATGAGGTAGTGCTCGATGAGGCCCACGTGGGGCGCTCACAGTTAAAAACAATCAGATAACGACAAAATTATATGGTTTTGGGACACCTGGACAGACATAAGGGTCTTGAACATCTAGCTCTCACTGGCAAAATCTAAGTCAAACGAGGCACGGGTAGGCCCAGAGCAACCTACTTAGAGAACCTAAACAAATGGGTAACAGGGAAAGATCAGGGAAACGTAGCTTTTTTTTTTAGAGCATCCAAGCCAAAGAATGAATGGAGAACCATGATCGCCGATGTCTGTCGCAGATCTGGCGCCGGATGAGGATGAAAAGTTTTTGAGACCAACACAAAATAGAAAAAAACCCACAAAAAAACCCAAAAATCGGTGGCTGGAAAAATGTCGGTTACTTCGATTTCAATATTTTGACGATCATCTGATCTCACCACTATGACATAATGCATTTCCTTTTACTCTAAAGAACCAGTCTTTTAGAGACGGCACGGCACCTTACTCTTTGAAGATGTACTCTCAGGTCTTTTCAACAACACTAAAAGATTCTCTTTTAACTGGCATTTAAAAAAGCTAGCATAACTTCATTATTCTTACAGATTACTTACTTACTTACTTACTTACTTACTTACTTACTTACTTACTTACTTACTTACTTACTTACTTACTTACTTACTTACTTACTCACATACTTACTTACTTACTTACTTACTTACCGTCACGCCATCTGGGGTTTAGGGCAGCAACAGAGGATCTCCAGCTCTGTCTTATTTGGGCCATCTTGGTCAACGTCCCCCCGAATGATTCCAAGACTTCATTTCAGACTCTACTGTGCGTCTCTAGGTCACTTTGGGTTTTTCTTACTGATTAATAATAATAATAGTAATGGATTGCATTTATATAGTGCATATCCTCTTATGCAATCTCTATGCGTTTAACATGATACATATT